GCAGCAGGAGGTGCTGCAGCTAAACCGCTTCGAGAAAGTGCTGCTGTACGGAATCTTATCTACAGATTGGATTGTCAGTGCCAACTCTGCTTTAGCAACAGCAGCAAATCTGGAAGAGCTGGCGGAAGCAGCAGCAGCAACGCAGCAGCCGATGCACCCCGTCTTCCTGAGCAGCAGCAGCATCAACTCCGCGAGTCTGCTGCTGCCGCTGCAGCAGCAGCAGCAGCAGCAGCAGCTGTCGCGGAGCAGCAGCAGCGGGGCGTGCACGGCCGCGAGCTCCCTCAGCAGCAGCAGCAGCAGCAGCAGGTGGGGGCTGCGGCTGCGGCTGTGGCGGCGGCGCAGCAGCGTGCAGCTGCTGCTGCTGCAGCAGCAAGTGGAGGCCTTCAACCACATCCAAAACTTGGAAAGATTTTTAGTTTTTATAAATCAAAATCCCCTTTTTTTGGCCCCCCACGCCATTCTCAAGGGGGCCCCTTGCGTGTTGACGGAAACAGAACAAAGAAAAATGCGCAAAGAAGCTGCCCCCATTCTCCAGCACATCGCCTCCCACATGCTTGCTGCTCCCGCTGCTGCTGCTGCTGCTGCAGCGCAGCAGCAGCAGCAGCAGCAGCAGCAGGAGCGGGAGGAGCAGGGGGAGGAGGTGGGCGGGGGGGGAGCGCGCCTGCCGAGTGCGACGGCGCCGCCCGCTTCTGCTGCGCAGGCGGAGGCTCTTGCTGCTGCTGCTGCTGCTGCTGCTGCTGCTGCTGCACCTGCGTGAGCAGCTGCTGCTGCTGCAGCCCCGCATCCACAGCTTCGAGGGAAGACGAGACGCACCCAGCAGCAGCAGCAGCGACAACAGCAGCAGCAGCAGCAGTAACAACAGCAGCAGCAGCAGCAACTCAAACAAACTTGCTTCTGTCAAGTCAAGTTTGAGTTGCATCGTGTTACTACTAGTATTCTCGCCACTGTCTTTATTATTATTATTATTATTATTATTATTATTATTATTACTATCATTATTCCTATTATTATATGTATTATTATTATTATTATTACTATTATTATTCCCATTATTATTTATATTACTGCTATTATTATTATCCCTATTATTATTATTATTCTCATTGTTATTATTATTATTATTATTATACTTATTGTTATTATTATTATTTATATCATTGTAAGTTGTATTGTTCTTTGTGTGCCGTTGAAGTTCTTCAAAAGCTGCAGCGGTGGCAGTGCCACAGCAGCAACAGCGCTGCTGCACTGAAAGGCTAAGTGCGGCAGCAAATAAAGAAATGACAAAGAAATAAAGAAATAAAGAAATAAAGAAATAAAGAAATAAATTAAATGATAAAAGCATTTATGATTTGCACTCAAGCTCCTCTTTGAACTGAGTGTTGCGAGGTGTACGTACACCGCAGCCCCCGCGGCGCGCAGAACGTCGATTTGGCTTTTTTGGGCCTCTGGAAAAGCGCCAAAAAGGTTTCCAGTGATGAAACTGACGAAACAAATCAATTTGATTCATTAAAAGCAATTAAAATGAACTATTTAGTGGCGTTTCAGGGGCGGAAGCTGCAGGTGACCTTGCGAGCACTCGGCGATGCCTGGGGTGTATCGACACCGGCGCGCGCCGCGGCGCCACTGCGGCGGCAATTTCTCCGTTTAAATTTTATTTTTTTGCGCTTTTTGAATTTTAAAAAAGCGGGTAGTTTAAAAAGGAGTTTTAATTGCGGCTGCGGGCCGAGAAGGCGGCGCGCTGGGCCCTGGGGCCGGCGCGGCAGCAGGAGCAGCAGCGAGCGCGTGCGGCGGCGGCCTGCTGCGGCGCCGGGGTGTACGGGGAGCTGCGAGTCGATTTCTGGGGTTTTTTTTCGGTTTTTTTTGCGTTTTGAGGCTCAAAAGTACTTTATTTAGTAAAAATTATCTCTTTTTGGCGGCGGAGATGTACGCGACGGTGCCGGTGTACGTGGACACGTACGGGGCGGGCAGCAGCAGCGTGCGCGTGGTTCGCGAGTACTGGTACTGCCCCTGCTGCAGCCACTACAGCTGCAGCTGCAGCTGCTGCTGCAGAAGCAAAAGGACCCGCAAAAGAACCAAATCTTTGCCTCCTTTGTGTCACTCTCACCGCCTCGAGTCTGCGGTGGTTTTGGACTGCCCTGCAGTCACCCGCACCCGCGTCATCAGCACTGTCACCCCCTGCTACCCCCGCACCACCACTTGCGTCTACTACTGGCCTTAAGTCTTCTTTTCTTTTCCCTTTTCTCTTCTTTCCACTCCTCACCTCCAAACCCCAACTCCTTCCTCTCCGCCTCTTCATTCTGGCCCCAACGAGGCCTCTGGGGGCCCCGGGGGGCCCCTGGGGGCCCCGGGGGGCCCCCGGGGGCCCCGGGGGGCCCCGGGGGCTCCTGGGGGGCCCCCGGGGGGCCCCCAGGGGCCTCTGGGGGCCCTCGGGGGCCCCCCGGGGCCCCCAGGGGCCCCCTGGGGGCCCCCGGAGTCAATTGGGTCTTTTATGAGGAGTGGAAAGGATATTTTTAATCTTTTTAAGTTTTAAATTTGTGTTATTTAATGTTGAAGACAATTCGAAGTTAAAATGCCCACTTGGTGCTGCTGCTGTCTGCAGAAGACAGCAGCAGACGAGCAGCAGCAGCAAGAGGCAATAAATGAATAATTAATTAAATGATTAATTAATTAATTAATTAATTAATTAATTAATTAATTAATTAATTAATTAATTAATTATTCATTTATTGAAGGAAGTGGGACAAGAATGGAAAGCGTCGCCGTCAACCTTTTTGTTTCTTTTTCAAGACTGGCAGCAGCAGCAGCCGCTGCAGCAGCAGCCGCTGCAGCAGCAGCAGCAGCAGCAACAGCAGCAGCAGCCGCAGCAGCAGCAGCACTCGCAGCAGCAGCAGCAACGCTTTCAAGTTTACGGGGGGGTTCTCCTCATCTTGTGAAATATCTCTGTTTCTTTTTAGTTTCTGATTCTCTGCTGCGCACTCTGCTGCTGCTGCTGCAGCAGCAGCAAAAGTGACTGTAGCAGCAGCAGCAGCAGCAGCAGCAGCACACTGCTGCAGCCTTCCCGTCCTCTGTTTTTTCTCTCGAACCTAAAATGGACTTCTACGACTTCTTAAACTAATGTTTACTCTTTACTCTTTTCGTTTTAGGGTTAGCGCTTGGAAATTAAGGTTTAGGGTTTAGGGTTTAGGGTTTAGGGTTTAGGGTTTAGGGTTTACGGTTTAGGGTTTAGGGTTTAGGGTTCAAAGTTCACCCATGCCCTTAGCAGAAGCCGCAGCAAAGAAGAAGTTGCGAAAAAGCGTAGCAGTTTCTCTACTTGCTGCCTCAACATCTGTACCCTAAACCCTAAACCCTAAACCCTAAACCCTAAACCCTAAACCCTAGCCCCTAAACCCTAAACCCTAAAAAGGATTTGAATGAAATGTGAGGGCCAGAGCACATCAGCAGCAAATTCAAAACCCACCTGATGAACAAATAAAAGATGTAAATAAATAAAATTTAATTAATAATTAATTAATTAATTAATTGGTTAATTAATTAATTAATTGATAATTAGTTATTAATTAATTAATTAATTAATTAATTAATTAATTCATTGATTAATTGCTAATTACATTTTATTCATTTATTTGCAAAAAGAAATGCGAGAGAAGTGGTTTTGGAAAAAAAAGAAAGGAAAAATATTTAATGGAAAGAGAAGAAATTAAAACAAAACAATTAAAAAGTCCTTCTTAATTTAAAAATAAATATTTAAATAAATGAATTTAAAACCGTAAACCCTAAACCCTAAACCCTAAAAACAAAACACCGTTTTCGAGGGTACTCTTTGAGGTGTATGTACACCTGAGGTGTACGTACACCCAAACCGACTCCAGCAAAAACCATTTTGAGACTTTTTGCGGAATTTCAAAATAATTTATTTCAAATTTGAAGATTTAAAAATTAATTAATTAATTAATTAATTAATTAATTAATTATTTAATTTAACCTCCAATGAGTTAATTTCAGCGTACCTACCCCCAAAACCCTAAACCCTAAACCCTAAACCCTAAGCCCTAAACCCTAAACCCTAAACCCTAAACCCTAAATTTTGAAACTTGCCATTTATCAATTCTCAAATCCCTGTAAAAGAACAAATGAATAATAGAATAAATATATTTAATTTAAATGCATAAATGCACTTTTGTAAATGCAGAAAAGTTCACAAAAACCCTTAAAAGAACTTCAATTCTTTTTAAATATTCTTTTAAATAAAATAATTTACTTTAGAGATAAACAATTCAAAAAGTTGAATTTAAATTTCTGCATTTTAAAATAAATGGACCTTTTGCAATTTTTCCAAAGGCCTTGTGGGAAACTCAACTGAAGAGCACAGAAACACTGGCCTTCAGGGTTTAGGGTTTAGGGTTTAGGGTTTAGGGTTTAGGGTTTAGGTTTTCGCCGGTTCAGGTCCAAAAGTTCATGAAATTTCTCTTTGAAAAAGCTTATAAATGCATTTAAACCCTCAAACAACTCGCTGTGAACCCTAAACCCTAAACCCTAAACCCTAAACCCTAAACCCTAAACCTCTCTTCGGTGACCCTGAGGCTGCTGCCCTCTCTCCAACGAAGCTGCGTAAGTCTACGTTCGCAAAGAATTTATTTTTATTTTTGAAATATAAATTAAACCCTAAACCCTAAACCCTAAACCCTAAATCCTAAAGCCATTTAAAGATGAAACTAAAGCATTCCTTTTTTGTCCAACGGTTCAGGGTTTAGGGTTTAGGGTTTAGGGTTTAGGGTTTTTGCAGCAGCTCAGCATACGCTGCCTCTCAAAGCTTCCTGAATCGAATAAAACGCCTGTTTTTTATTATGAATGACCCAGGGCTTAGGGTTTAGGGTTTAGGGTTTAGGGTTTAGGGTTTAGGGTTTAGGGTTTAGGGTTTGGGTGCGCGGCGGTGGCTGCGAGCATCGGGGCTTGGCTTTCTCAGTCTGTCTTGTGGAAAAACAAAATAAAAAAATAAAAATAAAAAAATAAAAAAATAAAAAAATAAAAAGAAATAAAAAGAAATAAATTTCGTTTTTATTTTTTAAGTCTTCTTTCGCAGTTTTTAAGGAGCGCGGGGCGTGGGCGCGGCGGAACCCTAAACCCTAAACCCTAAACCCTAAACCCTAAACCCTAAACCCTAGGGTTTGCAATGAGCAGCGGGGGCGTGGTGTGCGTGGTGCGGGACAGCAGCAGCTGCCGCTGCTGCTGCCACCGCTACTGCAGCTGCAAGTGCTGCAGCTGCTGCAGCTTGGCTAGCTGCCGCAGCATAAAGAACAAAGCCCTAGCTAGCCAGTCTGCTGCTGCTGCTGCTGCTGCTGCTGCTGCACTGGACCTGCGGGCGTGGCTAGCTGCTGCTGCGCACGCCGCTGCTGCGCGCCGCGCGCGGTTTGCTGCTGCTGCTGCAGCACAAGCAGCAAAAACCGCCAGCGTTGCTGCTGCTGTTGCTGCTGAAGCAAGAGCAGCAGAAAGAAGCAAATTTGTCCAATTGCTGCAGTCCACTCCCAGCAAAAGTTCTTGTCTTTCGGTGGTTTTGAAAAGACAAAAACAATTAGGGTTTAGACCCAAACCACAAACCCTCCTCATTCAGCAGCAGCTCCTCGTCAACAGCTGCTGCGCCCCAAACCCTAAACCCTAAACCCTAAACCCTAAACCCTAAACCCTCCGCCTGCGAGAAGCACGCCGCGGCTCGCCTGGAGGCCCGCTCCACGGCCCAAACCCCAAACCCTAAACCCTAAACCCTAAACCCTAAACCCTAAACCCTACGCAGCAGCAGCTCCTCAACCAAACCCTAAACCCTGGCAGCTGCATTTTGCTGCTTCTTTTTTATTCTTTTTAGCAGCACCCAAAAACCAAAAACATTTTGGGAATAACTGCACGCCAAACCCTTTGCCTTTCTCCGCTCTTCTAGGGTTTAGGGTTTAGGGTCTAGGGTTTAGGGTTTAGGGTTTAGTGTTTAGGTTTTAGGGTTTGCGGCGCTGCGTAGGTGGGTAGAGGGACCTACGATGCAGAGTGCCTGGGTCCAAGGGTTTAGGGTTTAGGGTTTAGCGTTCGGATTCTGCATCTAGGGTTTAGGGTTTAGGGTTTAGGGTTTGGGGCTTCAGGATGAGGATTTAGAAGGCGAAAGATGTTCACAACATTCACTTTCTACAGTCTCTATGCAAACCCCAATTTAGGGTTTTGTGGTTTCTCAGAAAATTGCAACAGCAGCAACAGCAGCTGTTGCTGCTGCAGCGCACTGCTGTCTGCAGCAGCAGCAGCAGCTGCTGCTGCTGCAGCAGCAGCAGCAGCTGCTGCTGCTGCTGCTGCTGCTGCACAAAGGTTCAAGCTCATGGAAGTAAAGGAAAAGTAAGGCCATTGCTGCAGCTGCCGGTGTCGCAGCAGCAGCAGCAGCAGCTGCGGCTACTTTTGCTGCTGCTGCTGCTGCTGCTGCTGCTGCTGCTGCTGTGGATGCTACTGCTGCTGCAGCCACCTGATGAAGGCGCCGCTGCCGCTGCTGCTGCTGCTGCTGCTGAGGCAGGGCGCTTGCTGCTGCTTGCCGGCCGCAGCGAAGCGGCTCACTGCAGCAGCAGCAGCAGCAGCAGCAGCAGCAGCAGCAGCAGCAGCTCAGTAGACGGGAGTGAAGAGGCAGTTGGGGTCTTGGGAGCCGCAGCCGTAGGCGTGGGGAGCAGCAGCTTTGGCAGCAAAAGGGTTTAGAGCAGCAAGAGGGTTTAGAGCAGCAAGAGGGTTTAGAGCAGCAAAAGGGTTTACTGCAGCAAGAGGGTTTACAGCAGCAAAAGGGTTTACAACATTTACATGCAAAGGTGCAGATACACTCGAAGGCAAGGGAGAACTAAACAAAGTTCCTGCTGCGTCCATCGTGTTCGCCATCGCCAGCGGGCCCCAACTGCAGCAGCAGCAGCAGCAGCAGCAGCAGCAGCAGCAGCAGCAGCAGCAGCAGCAGCAGCAGCAGCGGCGGCGGCGGCGGCGGCGGAGGCGGCAGCAGAGGCAGCAGGGACACGGGGAAAACGGCGGTCTCAGCGCGCAGCTAAGCCCGAAGCGCTGTCTTCCAAACTGCCCCTCGTGAAGCGCCACCTGGAGGCCTTCGCAGTCACTATTCTCGCAGTGGTACCCTAAACCCTAAACCCTAAACCCTAAACCCTAAACCCTAAACCCTAAACCCTAAACCCTAAACCCTAGGGCTTACGCATGGCCTGTCCAACTCGAGACAAAGCGTCAGCAACAACAGCAACCCCACCAACAGCCTGGCTCGCCAGCAGCTTTCTTTCGGCGGCAGTTTGCTGCTGCTCCTCCTGCAGCAGCAGCAGCGACTTCGGCTCTGCTGCTGCTGCTGCTGCTGCTGCTGCTGCTTCGGGCGCTGCTGCTGCTGCTGCTGCTGCGGAGGCCTCGCGGAGCTCAGAGAAGTATGGAGAGGCCCCGCTGCTGCTGGTGATGCTCGCAGCGTCCGCAGCAGCAGCAGTTGCTGCTGCTGCCGCCGCTGCTGCTGCTGCAGAAACTGGTGCTGCTGCTGCTGCTGCGGTCGACAGCTGCAGCGCTTGCTGCTGCTGCTGCTGCTGCAGCAGCAGCTCTGGAGCCTCGGCTGTTTCAGCTAACACTGCATTATACCTGCTGAACACGACGTCTGCTGCCTCCCCAACCTGCTGCTGCTGCTGCTGCTCCTCATCCTCCTGCTGCTGCTCCTGCTGCTGCTCCTGCTGCTGCTGCTGCTGCTGCTGCTGGGTGCAGGAAGCAGCACTTCTGTCTCCGCTGTTGGCGAGGCAAAATCCATCTGTCTCCCCTTCAGTCTGCAGGCCAACCCATTCAACTTTAGGGCTAGAGTTTGCTGCTGCTGCTGCTGCTGCTGCTGCTGCTTCTGCTGCTGCTGCCGTGTCTGCTGCTGCTGCTGCTGTGTCTGCTGCTGCTGTGTCTGCTGCTGCTGGGATGCTGGCAGCAGCTTCAGCAGTCTGCGCAGCTGCTGCCGATGGCTTGCTGCTCATTCGCCGCACATGCAGGCGCCTCATTCTCTGCTGCTGCTTTTGCTGCTGCTGCTGCGGCTGCTGCTTTTGCTGCTGCTGCTGCTGCTGCTGCTGCTGCTGCTCAGTGTCATTTGAAGGCCCTGGAGGCAGCAACGCGAGAGCCTCTCCAGAGGCTGGGGACGAAGGAGCAGCAGCGAGGACTCGCTGATGCGCTGCAGCTTGCTGCTGCAGCTGCTGCTGCTGCAGTTGCTGCTGCTGCAGCTGCTGCTGCTGCAGTTGTTGCTGCTGCAGTTGTTGCTGCTGCAGTTGTTGCTGCTGCAGCTGTTGCTGCTGCAGCTGTTGCTGCTGCATTTGACGCTGAAGCTGCTGCTGTTGCAAGTATTGCTGCAGCTGCTGCTGCTGCTGCAGCTGACGCAGGTACAATTGCTGCAGCAGCTGCTGCTGCTGCAACGGGAGCGGCGGTTGCAGAGGGAATCGCTGCTGCTGTTGTTGCTGCAGGGCAAATTGCTGTTGCTGCTGCAGTGGGAATTGTGGCTGATGTAGCGGGAACTGCTGCTGCTGCTGCAGCGGAATCTGCTGCTGCTGCTGCAGCGGAAATTGCTGCGGCAATTGCTGCTGCAGCGGGAATTGCTGTTGCAGTTGCTGTGGCTCAAATTGCTGTTGCTGCAGCTGCTGTTGCTGCAGCTGCTGTTGCTGCAGCTGCTGTTGCTGCAGTTGCTGCAGTTGCTGTTGCTGCAGTTGCTGCTGCTGCAGTTGCTGCTGCTGCAGTTGCTGTTGCTGCAGTTGCTGCTGCAGCAGCTGCTGCTGCAGCAGCTGCTGCTGCTGCAACCGCCTGTAGTGGACGTTTTCAGCCATGAGTCTCCGCTGCTGCATTGAAGGACTGTGCTGCTCCTGCTGCGGCTGTTGCTGCTGCAGCAGCAGCTGCTGCTGCTGCTGCAGCAGGGAGCCATTTGCTGCTGGAGGCGGCAGCAGCGGCAAAGCTGCTTGCTGCAGCAGCTGCCCCGTAGCCGAGCGAAGCTCTACTGCTGCTGCAGCAAAAGGAGACACCAGAAAACAGGGCAAAGAGATAATTAAATTAAATTAAATTAAATTAAATTAAATTAAATTAAATTAAATTAAATTAAATTAAATTAATTGGAATAAAGATAACAATTGGATTATAAGGAGCCAAAAGGAGATAAAGAAAGCGACAAAAAAGAAACAAAAAAGAAAAAAAAATGACAAAAAAGAAAACCAAAAAGAGGTAAAAAGAAAACCAAAAAAAGACAAAAAAGATATTAAAAAGAAACAAAAAAGAAATAAAAAAGAAGTAAAAAGGAAACAAAAAAGAAATAAAAAGAAATAAAAAAGAAATAAAAAGAAATAAAAAGAAATAAAAAGAAATAAAAAGAAATAAAAAGAAATAAAAAGGAAATAAAAAGGAAATAAAGAAGAAACAAAAAAAAAATAAAAAAGAAATAAAAAGGAAATAAAAAGGAACTAAAGAAGAAATAAAAAAGAAATAAAAAAGAAATAAAAAAGAAATAAAAAGAAATAAAAAAGAAACAAAAAGAAAAAGAAACACAAAGAAATAAAAAGAAATAAAAAGAAATAAAAAGAAATAAAAATAAAAAAGAAATAAAAAGAAATAAAAAGAAATAAAAAAGAAATAAAAAGAAATAAAAATAAAAAAGAAATAAAAGGAGACACAGAAGGAAAAAAGAGCCAAAAAGTGGCGAAAAGGCGAAAAAAAACGGCGAAAAAAAGCGGAGACAAAAAGGAGACCGAGGGGACTGAAAAGAGGAGAAAAAAAGCTGGAAAAGGGCGGCGAAAGGAGCGGAAAAGGCCCCGAAATGGAAGAGAAAAAAAGAAAAGAAAAAAAGAAATGAAAAAAGTTTTGCCTGAATCGAGGACGAGGTGTTCGCCGGTGCTGAGGTGTATGCGCAGGTCGCCGGCGGGGTCCCGAGACACCGCAGAAAGCCGCGGACTCGCGTACACCTGAAATCGAACAGTTTTGCGACTTTTTCGCAGCTAAAGACGCCGAATTT